GTGAAAGAACTCTCCGTTCCTCTTTTTGCCTGCATTTTTAAAGGATTCTGGTCAGTAGTCTTTGTCCTCTCGTCCAACCAGATGCCGCAGTTTGCAGTTAATACCTTATTTGGCGTGCAAAGTCATATTCTTCAGAAGTATTGCATATTTTTTACTGTCACAGCTCAAGTCTACTGCCCATAACCGGCCTCCACCCCACTGTAATCCAGCTTCGGACTCTACTTCCTCTTTCCTAGAAAACTAAAATCATCTTAATACCTAATAAAGATACAAGAAACTCACATCTGATTGAAATATCAAAAATTCCACCATTGCTTTTACCAGAGCAATCAAAATTACACACCGATTTCACACAAAACTATCTATGCCTGAAAATCAAAACATAGATCTTTATATTTTGAATACATTACCTGACTAAACATTGAATATCATTGATTAGACATTGATCAAACATTAATTATCAGTCAAATCTTTACTTTTAGGCTTGAAACCATCCTTTTTACTTTCTTAATAGGCTATGTTTCTTTCTCTCTGTGTCACATACACACACTTCTGCAGTTCCTCTATTCAGGGATGTGTGTCTACTTCCTCTTTTCTGTGATTCTGCATGTTTCACTCTTTTAGATGTAAAATCTCCATCTTCTCTCCATTCTTTCAATACAATCATTTCACATTTTATTCTTACACATTCACTAATGATTATTACAAACAAAACACACACATAAATCATCTTATGATTATCCTTACTTATTAAAAGCTTAACTTTCCAAGCATTCTGCCCTAGTGTTTTAATAATAATTTCTCTCTTTTTAAAAAAAGTTTCCCCCTCCCCCCCAGCCACTTCTGCCATTTTCTCTGCCTCCTCTGTTTCTTGGTTCTCTCTGAGACCCGTATTTACAGCTTCACTGACATCAGTCTGTTTGTTTTAGTCTTTATATTCCTGTACCTTTTCCTGGAGGGAAGAGGCACAAACAGACTGTTGCCTGGGTGGGTGGGGTCTGCAGCAATCCGTCCGGCCCTCCTCTGGATCCGGTCAGTGTATAGTGAGTCAGATCCAGAAGAGGACTCCCTACAACGCCCTGAGCTGTTCTCACCAAGTCCTTTCTGTCCTGTGCAGTGCAGCTCCCGTACAACACTGTCACACTGAGACAGAGGATGCTCCCTACTGTCGCTCTGTAGACATTTGCAAGCAGCTGAGAGGAGAGACCAGCATGTTTCAGCTTCCTAAAAAAGTCATATCTTTTAGTAATAATCAATGCTGTCTAATCAGCATCTTGATATGCCACACCTGTGAGGTGGATGGATTATCTCGGAAAAGGAGAAGTGCTCACTAACACAGATTTGGACAGATTTGTGAACAATATTTGAGAGAAATAGGCCTTTTGTGTACATAAAAAAAAAATCATAGATCTTTGAGTTCAGCTCATGAAAAATGGGGGCAAACACAAAAGTGTTGCATTTATAATTTTGTTCAGTGTAGAAAAAAGCATTCATGCTTTCATTAGCTCACGACTTGACTACTGCAGCGCCCTCTACACTGGAATTAGTCAGTCTCTCCTCCGTAGGATATGGAATTCCCAGGTCCACCAGCTTGTCCACCAGTTTGTGGGGGAGGATGGTGTTGAATGCGGAGCTATAATCCACAAAAAGCAGCCGTGCATAACTTTCCTGATGCTCCAAGTGGGACAGCACAGTGCGGAGGGCTGTGGCTATGGTGTCCTCTGTGCATCTGTTTGCCCTGTATGCAAACTGGTGTGGGTCAGATGTTGGTGGGAGGAATGACATAATGTCTCCCTGTACCAGTTTCTTAAAACACTTCATCACCACTGGAGTGAGTGCAACTGGCTGGTAGTCATTGAGGCTGGTTATGTTTGGTTTCTTAGGCAGAGGAACTAGGATGGAGGACTTCAGGCAGGGTGGGACAGTGGACTGGGCCAGAGACTGGTTGAAGATCCTGGTGAAGACTCCGGCCAGCTAGTCCTTCAGCACATGTCCAGGGATGCTGTCCAGTCCAGCAGCCTTCCTCGGGTTTATAGCCCACAGTGTCCGCCTCACCTCATGCTCCCCTACTGTGAGATTGGGGCCCCTGTGGGCCACAGGGTGCAGTTTGGCTGTGTCTAGTTGCTGCCCCTCAAAGCGGGCAAAAAAGGGGTTCAGTTCGTTTGCCAGCAAGGCATCCCCTTCAGCTGCACCGAGATTATTCCTGTAGTTGGTAAGATGCTGGACTCCCTGCCAGCTGTTGTTGCTGTCCAGATGGTCTTCTATCCTCCTCCTGTAGTCCAGTTTGGCTTTTCCGATGCCTCTTTTCAGGTTATCTCGGGCTGTGCTGTAGAGAGCCCTGTCACCTGTCCTGAAGGCAGTGTTCCTCTCTTTCAGTAGCTGCTTGGCCTCCCAGTTCATCCAGGGCTTCTGGTTGGGGTACACCCTGATGCATTTGTCCAGGGTAACAGTGTCTATGGAGTTCTTAATATAACAAAGGACACTGTCTGTGAACACCTCCAGGTCTGGATGTTCAGAAACATCCTCGTTGGCCCTATCAAAACTGAGAGGCACCATCAGGACAAGTTTTTACAGTCCTTGTGATGGTAGGAGCAGTTTTCTTGAGGGGGACATATGCAGGAATTATAAACAGGGACCAGTGGTCAGACTGGCTTGGGTGTGGTAGTGGTCTGGTCCTATAGCCTATATTTGAATAAACGTTGTCCAGTATGTTAGCTCCTCTGGTAGCACACTTTACCTGCTGGTCGAATTTGGGGAGTACTTTCTTTAAATTTGCATGATTGAAGTCCCCTGCTTGGATGTGCACAGCATCAGGCTACCTGCTTTGCTGACTGCTAATATTGCCAGGGGAGGCAACAGTGCGGTGGGTAGAGCAGCCGTCTCCTCAACCGGAAGGTTGAGGGTTCAAATCTCAGTGCCTGCAGTCCACACATCAAAGTGTCCTTGGGCCCCCCAATTGCCCCCAATGGTTAGAGCAATTGGTTGAGTTGGTACCGCAGATGGCTGCCTCGGTTCTGTACCGGAAACAAATTCCTTGTGTGTAACATACTTGGCCAATAAATGTAATTATTATCCTTATTATTATATAAATGTCTGATAGCCGAGTTAGCATTAGCATCTGAAAGTATATACACATTTGTTATGACAACCACATTGTGCTCGCTTGCGAGGTACATTAGCCTGCATTTGACAGTCACATACCCGGATGTTCGGGATGAGTTGATGAAGCCAGGTCTCTGTGATCAGCAGAATGCCCATCATGTAATTGGTTACAATCTGTAGCCTCAAATCATCCATCTTACTAATGAGTGCTCTGGTGTTCATCAGAAAGACGCTGGGAAGTGATGGTCTATATGGCTGTTTTCGTAGCCTCGCTAACGCTCTGGCCCTGCAGCCTCGCTTCTGCCTTCTCTCCTTGCAGCCTACACCTCCTTGCCATGGTGATCCATGGAGAACCGGGGCTCCTTGCTATGCCCACTGGTATCCTGTGTGAGGAGGGAAACTCAGCTTTAACTAGTGATGGCTGTCTGACACCGATGCGCTGATACAAGCTTCAAATTCGAAGAGGCATTTTCCTTGAACCAATGGTTTGAAGCTTGCTTTGGTGTGGAAAAAGACAAGTGATTGATGACGTCCGAAGCAGAAACTACTTTGGTCCTCTGAGTGAATGAAATGACTGGTTCAAACAGTCGATACTGCTTTGTAACGTGAGACCTTGCTAGGCGCGTAAAAGCACTATATACATGACATATCCTCCCTTAGAAAGATGTGAAGATTGTCTGACCTAATGGAATGAGCACATTGTTTACCCACATTTGTTTTCATTAGCAAAGCAATACCTATGTACACCAGCCTCATCAGTGCCATGTGAAGGTGTGTTTTCGAAAGCTGGAGAAGTTGTCAGCAAGAAAAGACACCGGCTAAGTCCTAAAACAGTGGAAAAAATATTGTTTCTCAATAAAAATCTTTGAGTCTCCATCCCATGTATATAAATCACACCCTGCCCTAGTTACATAAGCACACCCTACCATCCTAGCACATCCTCTGTTTCCCCAAGCACGCCTTCTCCCATCTACTACACTACATATGTTTATAGAATCAACCGACCGACTACTCAATCTTTACAAGAATATGTTGACATCACTCACACAAAGCCTAGTTACACCCATCACACAATTCAGACATTGTTTTGCTGTCTCCCATTTCGCCACTAGATGTCACTGAAATGAACCTTTGAATGAATGAACCGATGTTTGATACAATTGATGAAGTGGTTCAATACTGGTTCAATGCTTTATTTGGACATCACTAGCTCTAACTCTCTGCTCGTAGCAAGCTCCTATCTTCAGGAGATCGTGCCAACTGTAGGTGTTGTTCATCCAGCAAAATATACACAATATGGAAAACAACACGTACACAAACCACCAAACAAAACACAGACTAGAGGAGCATTGAGCCGCAGCAACAGCTCTTAGATCAGTTTGTTGCAGGGGACATGTTTACTTTTTTCAGGAAGAAAATCTCTACCATATTAAATTTTTGCTTGTTCTGTATTTCTTTTATAACATGATCCAAAGTTTAATGAAAACTGACAGACGCCAGCAAGCAGCAGCCAGCACCACCTTCCCACTCTCTGTGCTGCTTCTCTGCACTGTCACACAGCCCGCTGAGTGGACAGCTGAGCTTTCACATTTTTCTGTCAATAAAAGTAAGTACAGTAGATGAAGGGTTGCTTAAAACAGTTTCCCCATGTTTTCTAGTAGTTTTTAGTTTCTTTAAAGGAATCGTATAATGTTGGGGACGACCGTGGAGCAATCGGTTGAGTTGGTGCCGCAGATGGCTGCCTCGGTTCTGTACCGGAAACAAATTCCCCAAGTTGCCCGTGATGGTGGCCCGGGGCCCCTCGGCTCCAAACAAAATTTCATTGTACGTGTTGCAATAAAATAAAGCTTCTTCTTATAAAAAACAAAAGCAGATTAAAAGTGATGTATTATTTGAAGAAGAAAAGGTTTTGTACAATTACAAAATGTGCTAAATGACATAAGTCATCTGACAGTCATTTTATTTTGAAAGATAAATGCTAAAATACATGCATATTTTAACTGGAATACCATAAATTGACTGGAATTCTCAGTTCATGGTCATATTTCCTGCAGAAGTGACAATGTTAAACCTGCTTGTCTCATTGTTCAGGGAATTGTCTGACAGAGAACAGACACACAGCTAGTAAATGTTAGCTCAGAGGGTTGCCCTCTTGTTGATCTTTAAAATATCTGAATATAAAACAGAAGTGAGTGTGTGTTCAGGTGGGTTCTTCACATGGACCAAACCCTGACAGCACTTACAAAAACATTGCAGTGTCTTAGAAGTAGTTATAAAAGCCTCTCCAGTACCAGCAGGTACAGTTGAGCCCTGCAGCTATGAGCAAGATGACCAGTAGGGTGATAAGCAGGCCAAGGCCGATTATCGTGGCAGCAATGGCCCAGACCAGCGTCCTCTTGGACATGTCAATCAGAGGCGTCTTGAGGGCCATGCGCACCCTGCGCGCTCGTCGACGGTCCTGAGGAGGGTACCTCGCCAGGTTAACACGCTCCATGCCCAGAGAGCGGACCAGACAGGCTCTCTGGTGGCTCAGTTGGTCGAAGCTGTGTTTGCCATGGTAGTAGCCCATACCACTATGACCTGGAGGAAGCACAAACAAGTCAGGTGTTTCAAATAAAACACCATTTTATAGTCATTCAGGCACCCATGTGAGCAACTTTCACAGAAAAATGGGTGAAAGAATGTGAATGTTGTGCTGTGAATGAGTTCTATGTTCTTGAAGCCCATAGTTGAAAAGGAAATTATAGAGATAGTGAATAAATGTGGTAACAAAACATCTAGTGATAGTGATGGTATCACCATGACAACTGTTAAATGGGTAATTGAGGAGATATGCAAACCATTAACCCATATTTTTAACATGTCATTTCGACTTGGGCAGTTCCCTAACACTATGAAAAT